GGTTATTGTGGTTGTTGTTGTCGTTGTTGTCGTTGTTGCCGTTGTGGTTGGAGTTGGTGTTGTTGTTGTTGTTGTTGTTGTTGTTGTTGTTGTTGTTGTTGTTGGTGGTGTTGGTGGTGTTGGTGTTGGCGTTGGTGTTGTTGTTGTTGTTGTTGTTGGTGGTGGTGGTGGTGGTGGTGGTGGTGGTGCTGGTGGTGGAGGATGTGGTTGAGGTGGTGGTAGTGCTCGTGCCGGTCGTCATGATGCTGCCGCAGCTGACCATGGTGCTTCTTCCGCAATTCTTTGTCTGTTTCTGCCGTCTTGTTGGCACGTGGTGTTGTTGTTTTGCTGCCAGTGCTCCCTGTCTGTTGAAGCGCCAGTTTTGCTAAGCACATGTAAGCATAACCTGGACGAAGATGACTGCTGCCAATGCTCTGTGTCATTGCTTTCATTTTGTGGCGGTGGTGCGAGACCCTGTCAATTCCCGCTGTCTGATCGCTCACGGCTGCAGACTGCGCTGCCAACGCTCATCGTTGCCGGGATTCTTCCAGGCCCACGTATCACGGAAGCATGTTGCAGGATGTCTGTCCATTTGCGGCACGATGCGGCTTACTGTATGTCTTTTTGCCAAGGTCGTAGTTCCAGGAATCCATATGCTAGCCTGGTATTTGCTAGGGGAGCAATTTCACCCTGTGACAGATGAAGGCAATGCAAGCATTCCAGAGCGAGATGCGGGACCCAAGCCACGATGTAGGGAAGCCGCAGAGATCCAATAGCTTGGATGGCTGCAGCATGCCGAAGACTTGCAGATGCTTCTCTCTGATCAAGCTGTTCCCACGTTGCATTGTCGGAGAGGTCAGTAAGCCAGCCTGATGGATGCTGCAGGGCTGAAGGGTAGTTGTGCCACGAAGCCTGCCTTGATGTGTGTCGAATGCCAGTTGCGCTCTACGTCGCCGCTTCTTCGACTTCTCACTGTACGCGGCTGCCATCTCTGGTGCTCTGGCGAAGAAGCAACATTCAGGGCTGCAGGGAATTCTGCTTTCTTAGGGTTGGTGGGGCAGGCATAGCTGCAGAGCGTTGTTTCAGAGAAGGGAAATCTGCCCAAAGAGCGGACATGGATCCCATCTGGCCATATGCCACCTCTCTCTGTCAGGCCGCTTGAAAAGCACACCGCAACGTTAAAGGTTCACACTGAGAGATGCAGGTTGGGGGTGTTAGCGTTAAGGGTCGGGGGCTTATTGCTGGAAACTGGGGGCATACAGTGTATTCTAGTGCAACAGTCATTGGGGCCTCGGTGGGTGGGCTGGCCAAAGGCCTGGGGTCGAGAGATCGACCCCTACGCCCCGCAGAAAGAAAGAAAGCGAGGGAGACGGCCCCACAACAGGCGGGGGCACACTCGCGCGCGGTGGGGAGGCAAGTCCCCACCACAGCCCTGGCGAAAGAAAGACGGCGGCATCGCACACGAGGGCTCCTCTGCGGGGCACGCTCCTCAAAGCGTGTGAGAAGAATGCAAAGAACAGCGACGGCACCCTTATGACCTAGAGTAGCAACAGAGAAACGGATGCTCAGGTATGCATGTTGGAGGAGGACGAAGAGCAGGACCTTGGTTTGGGGTGTTGCCACGGACATGTACCTTCAGGCCACACTTCGACCTTGCCTGCATGGCGACTTCAATTCCCGGACAGTCTTGAGCCCCTAAGCCTTGCGACATGCAGAGCATCTCTTGTCACAAATGAAGGCCCCAGTTTGCTGAGGAAGTTCGCAAGCTCAGAAGCATTGAGCAAAGGTTTGGCTTATCCTTGAGACATCATGGTGCAAACGCCCCCTTGGTTTTGCCCTTGGTTGTTCAGTCCCAAGTTTGAGACCCCCTTTCCTGAGGAGGAAGACTATATGAACCTGGCACTTTTCCTCACGTTGAGCGAGTCAGGTCGCTTGCATGCTGCTGCAGCCGAGCGTGTTGTGTTGGCCAAAAATGCCTGTCTCCTCAGCAGCCTATCATCACGAACGTGACATAAGTGCAAGAGAAGGATCTCGCACCCAATGAGCTGAGGCTTCTTTATGTGGGACACCCGAGCAACTCGCCTGTCATGTTTTCGCGACTGCAACGTGTCTTTCACACACAAAACTTGATCATCTACCGCATGCACCGTTTGCAGAACTTCGAACTCTCTGAGATGCCTAGCTTTGCCCTCTGCTTAAAGCGTCCTTTCGAACGATTATCGCCTACTGTATGGCGCTATCAGGTGACGCTGGCAGTGCTTCAGAAGTTCCTTTACTTCACCACGGCCATTGTTGGAACCATTGGCTTCCAACTCAAGGCCGCTGATGCAGCTAACATTATGCTCGCATGACATAATGAATAACATGTGGTATGCATATGTACATATAGTCTTTGCAGAGCCTCTTTGCTTCGCTTGGGCTTAACGCATGAGGAACGGGGAGTGTAAGTCTCGTTAAGTCAGAAAATGCCAATGTCGACGGTGGACCAGGTGTTCCATTTCTGAGCACGGGCATGAGCAGCAGCTGAGCTTGCAGCGCCGTGTTGCGTCGTTATGGCAGAGGTTTGCTCTGCTGAGGAGGCTTTTTAGGTTTTGCTCTGCAAAACCTTGTCGTGGGCAGCTCTCTGCACGGGTCCCAAGCGTCGCAAGTTTACCTACCAATATATTTCGAGCAAGAGGCCTTTTCCGCAATTGCCTGTGTGTGATGCATTGTGAGCTGGTAGCCTGAATTGGGCCTGAATATTCCGCAGATGTCAAAAAGCCGAACATCCATGCCACGGCTGGTGCAGGTAGTTGGTAGTTTCGAAGGCTCGAAAGCTAGAGGCAAAGATGGTACAAGGTTGTTTGCCATGTAGGAACCAGTGGTCCAATCGGCAGATGCTGGAGGATGCTGGAGCAGAGCAGCTGTTTCCATTGCCTCACGATGGGGCGTGGTAATTTATTTACCGCAAGGCCTCACTGTGGGGTGCGGCGGCTTATTCTGCCGCTTTACATTTAATCTTTCTCGAGCAGGGAGGGGTGATCCCGAGCTTCTGCAAGCTCCAGGGCACCCCATCCGGAACTTGGTGAAAGAGTCGCGCCGCAGAAAGACCCTTGTGCAAGGTCTGCGCAGCTCCTGCAACTGTTGGACTGCAATGCGGGCCTTCCAAGCTGCGGCGGGGCTGGCTTTTTTGGTCGGAGTTTGCTCCGACCGCGGCAACCATCGCAACCCATGCCAAGCAGAACTCGCGCCCTCCTTTGTTTGGTGATGGATGCCCAAGACTCAACTTTCGGGCGTTGCTTCGTGTCATCCGAGCTCCTGCAAGTGCAGGACCTGAGACCAAGCTCGCACACGACCCTGTGGGCCATGCCAGATCCCGTACACCTGCACGAAATGTTCCTTGCTTCATCGTTCCGGGATCTAGCATCCTGTGCATAGAGTGTGCAAGCCCTGTAAAGACTCCAGACAGTACTGCACCTGTCTCTCCAGCTCCTGACGGCCCAAGAATGCCCAAGAGAAGCTCAGCCCACGCCCACCTCCACACGTCAAAAAGTCAAGCTAGGTTCGTTTCGGGTGTGGCCTTCGAAGGTTCAGGTGAGAACGCTGAGATGCGCTGATCCTATTGTAAGACATCGCCAGACCACATTTACCTACTCCTGGATGCAACAAGAACTTAGACATCGGAAACGAGAATGGCAAGGTCCCAGCCGTGCATTCCAGAAGCACACCCATAGGCCGAAATACGCACAGCGGCGAGAGCACGAACAAGACCGAGACTTTTGCGGGAGCATCTATAGGAGGCGCAACCAGGGGTTGCAATCAACATGTGCTCCTGAATGCTGGTCGGAGAAAGATTGCGGCAGGCGGACACACTCGGGATGCGCCGCGCTTTCGAATTTAGCACAAAAATCATATTGAACCAGCCCCGACCTATGAGAGGCGAACAACATGCCCTTTTAGGACTTTGTGGTTGTTGTTGTTGCGGTTGTATATGGGGGCAGTCGCAGTGGGCAATCCTGCTCAGTGGAGATGGGGAGGGAGTCTCATGTGCTTGCTGGCTCTCAGCAGTACGAGGCAGCACAGCATGGATCGGTCGCCAAGAGTCGCCACGTCACTTCTCATGGGATAATGAGCTTCCTTTATTGATCTTCGGGTCGGTTTCACACCTGGTGAGTGCTTGGTGCGGTAATATGCCTGCCATGCGTGGAGCCCGCTCGCGCAGCGTTCAATTGAGTTTTTGTTGCGGTGGTGGTGGTGGTGGTGGTGGTGGTGGTGGTGGTGGTGTTGCTGCAATTACTCTGCTGTCGATGACACTGGCGTCAGAGTCAGAGAAGGCCGTCCTTCGCCGCCTCAACCGTGAAATCTACACCTCTTGACGAAGCAGGCTGATGGCGACGTGTTCAGCCATGCAGGAGGCAAAAACACTTCTTTGCTTTTTATTTCGCTTGTGGCATGACCCAAACATCCAGATGAGGGTCCAGCTTCATGTTAAGTTGTATTTGTTGTTTGTTTGTTTGATTGATTCGTTAGTTAGTTGAATTAGTTAGTTAATTAGCTAGGCAGCTAGTCAGCTAGTTAGTGAGTTAGTTAGTTAGTTAGTTAGTTAGTTGGCTTGTTGTTGCTCTAGGTCTTACGGTGGTGCAGCCCTTACAACTCCCAGGAGCAAGAAGGATACCTGGTGGCAGTAGCCAGAGTACCAGAGCCAACTAGAGCTGTGGTACGTACGTGTAGCAAGTAGCACCACAGCAAAGTCCAGCCAGGATCTGCTAAGCAGGCATTCTCAGGTTGTGCTAACACCACCCTAATACTTACTTAACAAACCCATCTAGGACCCACCAGCTCGCTCTTCCAATTACTTACAAGATCTCGCCACCGCGGAGCAAAACATGTTGGCGTGGCGAAAGCATCGATGAAGGGTGTGGGTTGATAAACAGCCAAGTCTTGCTGGACCGGCAGCTTTGCCATGGATTTGCACATGCTCGATCATTACCAAGCACTGAGCAAATGGACTGACCCAGACTAGGCCTGTCAGGATCTGAGCAAACACTTCTGAAGAGAAGATACTGCCAGCAGCGCACATCTGCTCACACCATCTGAGACGCAGCTTGAATCTGAACAAGATCATGCTTGTCCCAGAGGCCGCTCCTCGAAGAGCCAGTAGGTTTTTAGGAAACCCGGTCAAGCCATGGACGAGATGCGGCCAATTTTTTTGGGATCAGACCTTGGGAAGTCATGGGCAGAAGTTTCCATTGGCACATTCGCATCCATGGCTTTGCCAGGAGTACTTGCGCTTTTTTTGTTCTTTTTAAATTTGACTCACAGCTGCTACCGTTCTGCACTGACGCAAGCCGACCGCACGTTGTGGCACCATCAAGCTTACCAAAACTTTACTTGCTTGCGGCGATTCAGGTCCAGAAAGGGCTGCTATGTCTTTTCTCAATGCCAGCGATCAGCGATCCCTGTGCACGTGGACCCTCGTGATCAGACCACTGGTTCTGTGTGTTTAAGAACATATCGTGAACAGGGCAGCAGAGCGGCATAGAAGGCGGGCGGTGTGTCTTTGCACTTGCGCGAGTGGGATTCTAGGAGTAAGCTAGGTAGGGCCAAAGTCTCCCTAGTAGCTCTGTTGCGAGTGCCGGTGCTGCACAAACATTAGTATTCAATGTCAGCGGGTTACTTAGGGAACAAGCAATCAAGTGAAGCCATCCTCATGGAATGACGGTGCGCCATCGCACCCAATGTTCTACCACATGTTCCAGTCGTTGCCAAGTGCAAAGGCTTTAACATCCCCAGCCGAAAGCCTGGCGTGACATTTCTTTATCCAGTCGGCACCACACCCAGGGCACAAGGCTGTCATGGGAGTCTTCTGAAATCCCCCTGCCATGCCATGTGGGTCCTGATTCTGGTGATCTGGTGCCTTGAATGACTGGACTCAGCACCTGGAAGCCTGCTGCTTTGCTCCGAAGCCGCCCATTGCATCCTCGGCACACTCTTGGCCTTGAGCCTCCTCGGACCACTCAAGTCAGGGCCGCAATCGTTAATTTGCATTTCCGGGCTACGCGAGCGCAGCGGGGTGCCCCGCTTCATTTGCAGTAGTCCAGCAGGACATTTCTGGTCGCCAGGCCTGAAAGGTGTGTGCGCCCGTCAGCCTGAACTGCGAGAGCAGGGCCACAGGTTATCGTCCCTTGATACCGACTCGTACAACCAGCTACAACAGGTTCGAAAAAGATGGAACGGAGACTGCGCTTCAGTTTCATCCAGTCAGAGGCCTGGACATTTGGCTGAACGTGCGATCTACGGGGCTTCATGTGCTGCTGGGCTTGTCGGTTGCATGGGTTTGATCACCACTGCGATGTGTTCGTCGAAGGCATGTCCGATCAAGCTGCAGATGTTTGCCTAAATCCTTACATAGCTCGAGCCCTTGTGTCTCCGGTTGGCATTTGCTTTTTTCTTCTGCCCGTAAGAAACTGTGTCAAGGGACCAGGGGAAAAGTTGTTGGAAACGTGGATCTACAGCGCTGACATTAGCATTTCCTTTCGGTGGGTGCCATTTCGCATCAAGGGCGACAGGCAATTTCTTCATTGGGTGAGTACATAGTGCTTATACTTACGAGAAAAGAACAGTGACACATGATACTCTACTAGGATGGTACCCTGCCTGGTACGTAAGTTGATGACTGGGCTTTGCATGTGAAAAATAGGATTTTCGTGTTTTCGTAGATCATGCATAGTACCAACAAAAAGGCGCCCGAAGCCCAAGCCCAGGACCCAACATGGCGTTGGCCTTCGGCTTGCTGCTCCTGCATGCAGGCGCAGTCCCCTTCAGAAAGTGGCCCAAGCTTTCAGAAAGGAGTGCAGGCAGTAGCGCAAGTATGGGTAGTAGTGGTAGTGGTGATAGTGGTTGTAGTAGTGGTGGTGGTGGTGGTGGTGGTAGTAGTGGTGGTCGTCGTCGTCGTCGTGGAGGTCGTGTTCGTAGTGGTAGTGGCAGTGGCAGTAGTAGTGGCGGTGGTGGTGGTGGTAGTAGGAGTAGTGGTACTAGTAGTAGTAGTAG